TTTATAAATATAAATAAATATTTCCAACACTCACACCAATTAGCCTAGCCCCAAAGTGAGCACTATAAGGCTTGTGTTCTGGGATACTAGGGTAACAGATAGAATACATATATTGTACATATATAAGTATATTTATATAGAAATACATTTTAAACATCCATGACTGGAGTACAAATGCACGTATTCATCACACAAACATCTGCCCCCACCGGGATTCGAACCGTCTCATGAAACCCGGCGTATAAACCACTCGGCCACGGAGGTCGTCAAATTTATCCCAGTCTCTTGTCCCGAATATTTGCAAACAACACAAGTGACACCAATACAGACAAAAATAAAACAAGACACATTACTATATCTATAAAAAGTAACGGATTTCCCTATTCGAGAAGCATCATTGTCTCCCAAATATAGTGATGTAATAAAACTGCAGTAAAACTATGTTCGAAATAGGAGCCGTGCGCGATTTTTTATTATTTCATTTATACTTTTTGCACACTGAACAATAAACGGTTTAATAATTCATAAGGGCTGCGCGCGCGCATGCGGCTCACGTGCTCGGCCCGATCACGATGGTAATGCCAACATGGCCGCAAAAATAATGCCATTCCCACGATCGTAAAATCACGATGTTTTACATGAATGCCCTACCCCGAGAAACACTGGTTTTTTCGTGAACGGAAGCTTCTGAATTCACGCGTACGGCAGCGGCACTTGGAATTGATAGCGGTGCTCATCAATAATTTAAAACCTATATTTTCTGGCAGTTCTGGTAAACGACTTCACTCGACACTATGTTTAAGACTGGTTTTTTTACACAAGGCGCAATAAATAATCCGGCCCCCCTTGATGTTAAGTGTAAGTGTAGTCCAGTCGCGAAGATAGACAATGAGACAGCTAGTGTGCCACTCTTGACTTTGTGAGAGAAATAAATAATTCATTCATTCATTCACTCCAGCTCTCCTCACCTCGCCAGCCTGCATCTAAACTTAAACCACTCCAGCCCTCCAACCTCGCGGAGCCCTGGAACCCCACTCACCAGCAGAAAACCAGCGATAACACTGAAAAAGTCTACATAAATACTATAAAAAAAATGTTTTTTTTACGCTTGCATTTGTCTTTTTTGATTAGTCTAGTAGCATATCTTCTATATATATAAAACTCAAAGGTGACTGATTGACATAGTGCTCTATCAACACACAGTCCAAACCACTGGACGAATCGGGCTGAAATTTGGCATGCAGGTAGATGTTATGACGTAGGCATCCGCTAAGAAAGAATTTTGATCAATTCTACCCCTAAGGGGATAAAATAGGGAATGAAAGTTTGTATGAAACTTTGTCAATTTTAAACCGATCGGGCTGAGACTTTGCATGCAGGTGTAAGAAGAATCATAGATGAATGTCATTGTGTATAATACAAGCCCGAGAACAAAAACTGTAGTCTACACCTTAGCTGTACACCCAAGCGAAGTGAGGGCGGGCCGCTAGTATTGAATAAACAATTAAACAAAGAAAAAGAAAAAAGCCTTTTCTGTAGAGCGATTCTGTAAAATAAAATCTCACATCCGATTTCGGTAGCTGCTATTTCACACATTGGTTTGATATACTATTACACGGCAAAATGTCGCTATGTCTGTAGAAGCAGCCAGTATTAGTATAGAATAAATGAGATCGTAAGTGACATTGCATCGTACAGAATACTTATGCTGTGATTCTTAATAGGCTTTTAACACTTTTTTTTTAGGCTTTTAGTTTTATTTAGGCTTTTAACAGGGTGAAAATTTATCGGGGTTGATTTGGAAGTTACTTAAATATGAGCGTGTCTTATGTTCTTGTGTTCTTACACTGCAAATTATTGTCTTAAATTCGTGTAGTGAGTAATAATTCTTGTACGTACAATCATCGACAGACATATTTCAGCGGCGTAAAAATTGGAGATATCAAAAAATGTACAAGTTATTATTATAAACAAAAAAAAACTAGTAATAATACTTTGTATATACAGACGTAACAGTCAAATACTGATTAAAATTATGCTTAATAAAGTTCTTTAATTTCTTTCTGCAGAAATGAAAGTGTTTTTCACATCTTTTATTGTGTAAGTTTCTACATGAAATCGGACTGTTTACATATAAGTCGTACGTCGCATGTGGTACTAATAAACAAAATTTCTTAGAGCTACTTCAATAACTTAAATACTCAAAGAAAATAGTCCTCTAAGATTAGTCATATTAGACGGGAATTGATACTTTCGACATTGTTTTAATAAGTTCATTTCTGAATTTCTCTCTTTTATATTGTTTCCCTAAAACGTTCTTTTCAAAACTACTTTTTGTCTATAAAATAAAGTCCCGCCCGCTGTCTTTACAATTTGATCGTTTTTAACTTCGCAACGGATTTAAATGTACTTTTCAGCAATAGATAGAGTGCTTCAATATGAATGTTCATGTATAATAAGCTCAAGAGCAAAAACTATAGTTCATACTGAAGGGAAGCGAGGGCGGGTCGCTAGTATTTAATAAAAAAACTAAACAAAGGAAAAGAAAAAAGCCTTTTCTGTAGAGCGATTTTGTAAATAAAAATATCACATCCGATTTCGGTAGCTGCTATTGCAAACATTAGTTTGATATGCTATTACACGGCAAAATGTCGCTATGTCTGAGAATCAGGCAGTATTAGTAATTTTGTCAGAAATCCGTTTAAATGAGATCGTAAGTGACATTTCATCTTACAGAATACTTATGCTGTGATTCTTAATAAGCTTTTCACAGGGTCAAAATTTATCGGAGTAGATTTGGAAGTTACATAAATATGTGCGTGTTTCACATAATATTTTCAAATTTTAAAGTATGATTCAAACGTCTAAGCGCCGTAAACATCGTTTGTAAAGAAAGTCTGAGCGTTTTCTATTGAATAAAATTGACATAAGTTAAATAAACTAAAGTTGTAGAGCAATAAATCATTGCTAATTTAGAAACTGTTAATCAAAAACAAAATAACGCGATGACATCATTTGTAACTAATGCCATTCATTTCTTATGGTTTTTAAATTGAAATTGGTAATCGTTTTCCAGTTATAGCGTAACCGAAAAATATTCATATTATACATAAATATTATTTAAAAGCGAAAGCTTTTCGTTCGTCTGGTAACGTCTGTACTATTGGGCGATAAATCGCGGAACTTTCTCACGGGGACGTCCAGTCTAGTGATGTAACGAATATTCGCATTCGCATTCGCAAATATTCGCATATTTTTGAATATTCGCATTCACATTCGCATTCGCAAAATCTCTGCGAATGTTTTGCGAATATGAATATTAGAAAAAAACAATTTGAAGAAGTTGTAGTTCTGCCTTTCCTTGAATATTCATTGTTACACAGTTTGCATTTAGCTCGTTCAGCATCGCAAAGTGTGAAAAAAGTCCATGTTTCACTAGAATTCGATTTACTCACGTTAATAAATCACTATTACCCCTCACAATCACTAACCTCAAAATTCAGTTGTTTTGTTTACGGAAAGACCGGTGCGAGCGGAATGACACTTCTATCGGATGAGTTCATATCAACTCGGCAATTCGAACGAGACTGCCACCATGCCATAGATAATTGGCGCCAATTTAAAAAAAAAATCGCAATGTCGGTAGTAGACATTACCATCCGCATTCGCATTCGCGAATGTTCAAAAAATTACATTCGTTACATCACTAGTCCAGTCGCGCTGCATAAGATCCCCGCGTTCATAATAAGCGTGGCATTCGGTAATTTGATGCAATAAACTTCGAAAGTGTTGCTCATTGGCCATTACACAGTCTCAGGTTCATGTTTTCACACTTGCAATATATGTGACCGAAATATGAAATCATCCTTTAGTATCAGTAAAATTTCTTTAAAAATTTGGAATTCTTAAATAATAAAATTTATGTAGTTTTATGCTGCTCTTGTAACAGGTGAGCTTTTTATCACTAAAACACCGGATGCTGAAGACCAGTACCCCTAGCACGAGCCAGTATCGAATTCGTATCGTTTGCGAGTCCGAAATGTCATTGTCAAATGTGTACTGATTTTTAGTTCTCGTTACGTACGTTGTGCCGCTGCTGTTCAAGTTTCCATACAAAATTTGACATTGACATTTCGGTTTGCAAACTATTCGAATTCGATAATGGTTCGTGTTAGGGGTACTGGACTGTTTTTTTTTAATAACAATTAAAATTTTTAATGCTACATGCTTCATATGAACGACAAAATTGTTGGCGATTGAATAAAAGTTTTATATTGATGAAAAATAAAACTTTTTCATTGGTGAGAGTTTTTTTAAAAGTTTTTAAAAGGTTTTGCTGGTGATAAATCAAGGATGTCCTTATTACAAGAACTTTTAAAGTACTCAAGAGCCTTTCCCTGACTTATAAGACCAAACTCAGGTATCCCTTTGCGAAATAGTCCTTTTCATGAACTTTTAAGGAAAACTATAACAGTTAATATAGATTTATATTTTTTTATTATTTTAAAGCATGTAATTGCTTGATGTTTAAATTTAAAGAAAATATAACTAGAAACAATTCCACGCGGAGCAAGCAGCAGACGGGACTCGAACCCGCACCCTTCGCAATCCGGGCGAATGCACTGACCAATTATGCTACCGCGGCCCTCACGGACCGCGTCGAAATTCTTCTAACCATTCTTTAGATTTAAACATGAAGCAGTTACATGATTTAAAATAATAAAAAATTATAACTATAATTGCTATTTCTTCTTATGTTTATGTTTAATACTTGTAAAAGTATTCATTTGACATTGTGGGTTACCTATAATGCGAAGAGATGATTAAGAATGGCTAATTAATTAATTAATTTGTTAATTTAATTTAATAGTCGTTCAACTTTCCCAGATAATACAGAGAATGTAGATAGTGCACGGGCAAAGAATTCTACTTGCGTATAGTACGACAAAGAAACGAGTCACCAAATTTATCTTTTATTTATCAGGAATACTTTTCCTTACCTTAGACACAGCTGCGGAAAAACCTGCTTGGCACACCCCCGTTTTTCTTTGACCGTGGCTCGCTGAAAATAAGTAAAGTCCATGTTATAATAAATAGAAAATAATAATGGTAATATTTTTGACAGATATCTGTTCCCACATAAACTTAAGGTGTAACAGAATATGAAATTATCCCTAAATAATCAAAACAAGTGAACTTGACCATCGAGCAGCGTTTGAATTGGCGAGTACACTTGCTTTATCAAACTGTTAATTTTTTATTTTTCATTTGAATATATTTGGCAATACCTTTTAAATGTGCGCGTTGTTCTCAAATAATCCCAAACAGAGAGTACCTTGCGTGTTCTTTATGCACAAACAAATATGACCTAGCATGTGCCAATGTTTCAATTCAGCGATTCCACAATACATTAACTGCAGAACACAAAAAAATATGGAACTGTCAGGCTTGTTATTGCAAAATACCTAAATCTGGTAATGTGAATACCCCTGTGCGCAATTGAAATGCAACTGATATTGCAGAACATATTTTTTTTTGTAACGTACGTACTTTATAGCATGTATTTAACTATCTCTGTAACTATGCGAATGCAATAAATTATTTGATATTTGAACATAGAAAGTGGTTAGAAGGATGATCATAGACCGTTTGTACGGGAACCGATGTCGCCGGTTCGCCCCCACTACACTCCCACCTAATAGGTAATAGCCAATCAAGCGACACGACATTAAACAATCGAACCAATCAGCGCCGAGCAACGACGCGATCAGAAGCAGGTATTGGTCATTTGCTCACACATAACTGTGGCGCACCTGCCCCGCCCACAAGGCCCTTTCTTACATCTTTCTGTATTCTGTGATCATAAGTTACAGTTCCCAATTAAAATATGAGTAACCAATTGCTATCCCAACATAAAGAGTTAAATCAATATAACAAATAAGAAATAATTATTATACATTAGAATGGGCCAAATTATAATAAACTTAGTTAAAAGTAGTATATGTTCTATAAACAGTGCACAATTCTAACATCGACAACATACAACTACACTTACTTACCCTCGTCCAAATGCCGATATCCTGAACAAAGCATATGAATATATAAATATGTATAATATTTAACTATCCACATAAATATAACAATAAAGTTATATGGAAAAAAATCGGCCAAGTGTGTGTCGTGCCACGCCCAGTGTGGGGTCCCGTAGTTGCCTGTAGTTACCTTTTTTATAATATTTCCAACACTCACACCAATTAGCCTAGCCCCAAAGAAAGCACTGTAGGCTTGCGTAATGGAATGCTAGGGTAACGGCTAGAAGCCATATATTGTACATATATAAGTATATTTATATAGAAATACATATTAAACATCCATGACTGGAGTACAAATGCTCGAGTTCATCACACAAACATCTACCCCCACCGGGATTCGAACCCGGGAGCTCTCGAGTAGGCGACACCTCGAAACCCGGTGAACAAACCACTCCGCCACGGAGGCCGTCAAAAAATCGTCGTCGTTATAAACAGCAAACATTAAATCTATGTCCCTATAAAAAACTTTGTGATGCTAAGAAAATAGGTAGTTGGTTTAAGAAAAATTGTCACACAATTTTTTTGTCTGTATTTCCCAACCCGATTATTATTTTTGTCGACACACATTTACCCTTATGGTAGCCATACACACTACGAGTAATCGTTACGATCAGACTGTACAGTTCGAACGGTACCGATAAATCGTAGCGTGTATGTTATAAAACTGCACAGTTTCCTATACTAAACGAAATCGTATAAACTGTTCCGTTCGAACTGTACAGTCTGATCGTAACGATTTCTCGTAGTGTGTATGGCCGGTATAACATACACGCTACGATTTATCGGTACCGTTCGGACGGTACAGTCTAATCGTAACGATTTCTCGTAGTGTGTATGGCTACCATTATACTGCAGTATGTACAAGAGAAGTTACTATTTACCCCTTCCCATAAAGGGCTCGATTAAAACACTATCTATTAGCGAAGACCCGACATCGATGGCTATCGAAGCCGCAGGGTGCGTAACGCTAATTTCGCGCGCGCGCCATTACCGGCGGAAGTGACCGCGAGGTTTTCGCGCGCTTTTAACGACGCCATGCTTTGCGCCACACACGGCCGCCCCATTACGCTGAAGCTTTACATGAATAATTTCACCAAGTGCCCTTTTGAAATATTTGATCTATTATAAAGTTAGTGAGCCCAGCTTTTTTTTATAATCGATAAAAAATCCGTGACTCTACATCAGTGATTCCCAAAGTGGTCTATATCGACCCCTAGGGGTCTATGACAACCTGCAAGGGGTCTACGTCAGCGAAAAAAAATCAATATCAGGTAAGTAGGGGGTGTACCCAACACGGAAAAACATGGCAAGGGGTCTACGACACAAAAAAGTTTGGGGAACTCTGCTCTACATAATAGTATGTTATTCAATAAATTTGACTTCGGTTGACTAATCTTAGTAAATTGTAATTTCAAGTTTTACAAGATGGCAACCTCGATTTCACAGGTTTTTAATTCAGATCATTATTAAAGATACTAAGATTTCTGCTTGCTAGAGAAGGAAAGTTACATAGAAGGAAACGTCTTATAATTCCCTCTTCCTGGTGGGTGGAAGAGCGCTTAAGAGTCATCACAAAATGATGCTAGGTACGTACTAGTTCGACAGGGTGAGATTTCTTCAACTTTGCTGACGTCAGAGGTTTTGGTTACGAAGCAGGTGCCCACGGGGTCCCGCTGGTTCAGCTTGTGGGACACGAACGACACGTAGCGAGGGGCACAAGCCTGTAACAAGAAAAAAAAACCTGAATGTGACATGTACTTTTGACCACGCTTTTCTATAACACATATGACACGTCATTAACTTTGTTTATTTATTTATTTGATCACCAACAAAGTTACACTTAGACATTTATTATTTACACACTTATAGTACGACACTTTATTAGTGGAACTTTAATTATAGGCGATTGCGACATGCAATTTACACTTAACTAGCAATTAAATCTTATAAAATTTTGATAATTACATTAAGTTCAATACAAAGCAATTATGTATAAAAATAAAAATTTAAATTGTCATAATTGAATAACAACAATTAAATAAATTTATGAAAAATAAATTAATGAAAATAAATTTATGAAAAATAAATTTATGAAAATAAATTTATGAAAAATAAATTAATGAAAAAAACTATGTGGGCACAAAACCAAACATAAAGATTTTATTCTCTTCAGTGTATCCGCGAAGATGTCCATATCGGTCGACTTTCACAGTGAATTGTATAGAGAGAGCATTCTGTTTATAGGAGAAAATAAGCCTAGGTTCGTTCTGGAGCTTCTAACCGTAGTCGTAATAAGTATTGACTACGGTTAATATTTGAAGGATTTTTTTTCATAATAACCCCTTTCTTTTTTTTCCTTTCCTGCTGCAATATTTGTATTGATCAGATTAACAGAAAAAAATATGAAAATTGCCCGAACGGACGAAATTGCGGGCGGAAGTCAGTAAGCTATAATACTGAATTCCGCCCGCAATTTCGTCCGAATTAACTTTAGTTTCGCGCAACTTTTATTTTTTTTTCTGTAAGAACTTTGTGGAAAGGCAAAGACTTTAATAAAATCATTACAATCGTTCTCCAGTTATGGCGTGACAAAGGAAAATAGGAATTATTTTTTATTGAGCCCGACGCAAAAAGAGGGGTGTTTGTTATACATAAAGATTTTCAAACTTAAAAATTAGCATTGTCGTTAAAGCGAACGACAGAATTGCCGCCACCATTTGCCTAAGCCAGGAAAGTGGTTGTTTGTAATCAAAGTCTGGGCGTTTTCTATTGAATAAAACTTGATATAAGCTGGAGCTGGTAACGAAAGAACTATTTTTATACCATTCATCAAGAAATGTATTTAATAACAAGACTGACATAATTTGTAATAACATTCGTATCCTTTATGAGATTCCGTTTAATTATAAATTTGGATCAGTGGAAACATACAATGTGGTAGTGAGCGCGTTAAGTCAAACTCTGTCAGAAATAGATCTCTGAAAATAACACGCTCCAGTGTGTATATGAACCTGAAATCTGTTCGACGGTTAATCTTAACTAAGTCACGCTTCAAAGATATTAATCTGGCCTCTAGGGCTATCAGGAATACAATATATAATTAACTAGCAAACCCAGCGAACTCCGTTTCGCCACCAGATGGCTTCGTTTTATGTAACATTTCGTTTTGTGATTAAAAGAAAACGATTTTTTTTTAAATTTTTCCTGAATTTTCTTTGCTATAAACCTCACGGAGCCCGAGACCTTTCCAACGAATGCAAAACCGTGGAAATCGGTTCGTGCGTTCTGGAGTTATAGCGTCCGGAAGGAAAACCCGACTTATTTTTATATAGTAGATTAATACAAAAGTTATATACTATAGTTTATAGTTGTCCCATTCGGTGTCGAGACCCTTGGTCCGTGGTGTCCTAGCGCTATGAGGTTTTTTAAGGAAATATCAAAAAGGTTAGTCGACATCACTGGAGACCGAAGAGCTGGCAGCTACCTCGGACAAAGAATTAGTCTAGCTATTCAAAGGGGGAACGCTGCCAGTATCTTCGGAACCTTGCCTAAACGGACTCCTTTTAGTAATATATTTTAGTTATTATATTTTTTAAGGTTTTTAGTTTAAGGTTCATTGTTCCTGTACTTATATATTAAAATATTTAGTTAATAAAGTACTTTATTAATACAAACATACGTTATAATTTGTACAAACATTCTACCTGGTTACTAATATTGGATTAATCAATGAGAAGCTCCATGGCGCAGGTGGTTAGCGCGTTCGGCTGCGATCGATGAAGTTAAGCAACTTTCGCAGTGGTCGGTCATTGGATGGGTGACCAAAAATCTTCTATTTCGAGTTCCTCCGTGCTTCGGAAGGCACGTTAAGCCGTTGGTCCCGAGTGCATCTGCAGTCGTTAGCACCCGCCAATCCGCACTGGGCCGCGTGGTCATGGCACAATCTCCGTATTCCATCCATAGGGAAGGCCTGTGCCCCAGCAGTGGGGACATTAATAGGCTGATGGTGATGACTAATATGAACCAACTAATAAACAGTATATTGATTTAAACTTTCATGGTAACATTACAGTATTTCTTGTTGTTGCTTTGTTTTTTGCGAGTTCCCGATATTTCGGCATTGGTGTCGATTCTCTCATGACACTCGAAACCTAAACTTAAATTTGAGAACAGTGTATCCTTGTCATTCTCTATGCAGAATGAAAAGGAGAGACTGATGTTAAATTTAGTTTAAAATAAAACTTTTGAATAGTTTGGTTTCAAGTTAAGTCAACCCTGCAAGAATCGAAATCAATTGTTTATTTTAAAAGAAATCATAATTACCAAATTTGGAAATATTTTGCGGTAAGACTTCTATCTGTCTGAGATATAGCTGACCGCATATTCTATAATTGAATTTAAAAGCTGTATATAAAATTGATTACTTAAGGAAGGAAGGAAGGAAAATGTTTAAGAATATTTGAATGACAAAACGGCGTGGTCGTGATTTCGTCATTGTTTTCGTAAATTGTTTGCAGTTTCCTACAGATAAATGACCCTAATTTTAAATAAATATGTTGTAGGTAGTATGGGTGGTTATGGGTATTCATAATCTTTTAAAAGTCTCTTCGGTGGTGTTATGTGAGGCGGGTCGTTCCATTCCCTAAAATATGGTTAAGCGAAGTGATGGCTGGTTCATGCGTCATGCTCGTGAACGGGTATTGCCAACGGAGATGAGTCTGCCCTAACTTCCATGATATTGTAGATGTTATTGTCTAGTTACACTTAATATAAATAACAATATTTGTACTGTATGACACAGTAATCAAAATGCAGGTTAACGATTAATGTATATTTAATCATTATGTAATGGAAGGTGACTTCATGAATCATCTCTTAAGTCATTTTTCAATTTGACCACTCTGTAAATAATAAAACAGGAAGAAAAAAACAACCTTTACTAAAAATCTTTCAATGAAATAACCGAACGCTCAATATAAGTCTTTCGAAGGTAGCTCGACAATTTTAAATAAAAAATCATTATTCTGACGATGCAGACCTGAAAAGGCTGCGAAACGTCAATAAATAAATAAAGTTTCGTGCATTAACCCGTAAAAACTAGTTTTATTTAACCTTTACTAAGTTTCTTGCCGGTTCTTCTCAGTACAAGGTCTCCCGCCATAGATTTACGAACCGGTGGCGTAGCTTCTAGACATTCATGAGTGCTTGTAACAGCCTAAACTGAATAAATGATTTTCATTATGATTATAGATTAGGCTTTAGATATGGTAGGTATTTATTGTAATGAAAATTTCAAACTATTGCTTCTTCCGACAACAGTCCGAATTTAAAACGGTACTTGAGTATAGGCTCATAAAAGACTAGGTACTATATGTACTTCATGATTTACTTAGTTCACATTTTTTCTGGACATTCTAATAATTTGAAATGATTTTATTGTTAGAATACGAACCCGACAACCCTACTGCCTCCCTACGCTGGTGAAATTAAATGAAAACAGTGCCTTATGCGCGTGCGTCGCTCCTGTTAATAAACACGAAATTGTGGTAAATTAAACCCATCTGGCAGGAACTACCCTCTATTATTGCCATACACGTTATAAATATTACTTCTTATGACTTTTATAATGATACTAGCCGCCGACCGCGTTTTCGTTCGCGTTAATTTTATTTTTATTGAAGTTATACTTCTTTAGGCGCGTTATGAAAAAATGATGAGAGTGAAATTTTAAGATGCGCGCGCATCACTGTAACACAAAATTTTAACAGCATGAAGTTGGTCACTTTAGCGACCAACTTCATCTCCATCTCTTGACCATTGGTGTAGTAGAACCAAAAACCACATCTTTATTTTTTGTAATAAAGTAACAGTTATAGGTATTCATATTTATAATATTTATCCACATGTTTCTAGTTTGTATATTCGGAATACGTGTTTGAGTTTCATACAAGTGCAAATCACATATGTTCTAATAAATTATATTCAGTAGCGATTTCAATTGAATATTTTGATTATTTATTTATTTTTTCAAATTAAAACTGAACTTTATTGACTGTGTCCTTTTCCAGACTTTTTATTAATTTATTGTAATTAATTATTTGCATGATATTAAAAACTAATTTTAAACGATGCCAAAGAAGGATAACTTCTCACGCGCCTACATAAGTACACGCACCCATTTTTTTTTATTTATTTAATTACTAATTTAGTACACACACAATAAAACAGATAAGAACAGGACTAGAAATTTGTACAAGGGCACTGCTTATTTCATATTGTTTTTTTTTTAGTTTCTTTTTAAATTCTCAGAATCCCAACTTTCTTTTCGGCATAAAAAGTATATTTTGTCTCAATCTATGTGTTCGCGCCAAATTTCACCCAAATAGGTTCAGCAGACATCTGAGTGATTGAGTTACAAAAAAACATACAAACTCACTTTTGCATTAATAATATTAAAATAATTAGGTTTTCCTGTTTATTATTTGAAGCCCTAATGCAATAATTTCCGCATAACCCCCACTATTATTTTATCTAATATATAAAATTCTAGTGTCGGTGGTATAAAATTCTTGTGGTTAAACTCCTCCGAACCGGCTTGACCGATTTTTATGAAATTTTGTGGTAGGTCTGAGAGTCGGACAACATCTATTTTTCATCCCGCTAAATGTTATGGGTAATCCACCCCTAAATTTTTTTTTCAATTTTAGATATATTTTTTTTT